TCGACTGATTCCAAGCAACTTATGTTCACTAAAGTATTTTTCAGAAAGTCAATAATATTCGAACTATTTGCGAGTGAAAGTGTCAATTTTTGAATCAATATATAAACCCAATTTCAAATGGTGGACTTATAGGACTTATAGGGTCTGTAAACACAATACAAACAAAAAATTTTCAGAAACATTTTTCATTTCCAGGCGCTCCCTGCTATCAAAAAAGCTACTGATTATCATGGATAGTAGTAATGATTTTCATCAAGTAGCGGAAAAGTCCATTCATGAAATTGAAAAAAGTTCATAGTGAAATAACCAAAAGTGGGCAATTTTCTGGGGAAACTTGTACAACCTTCCCTGAAGTTATTAAAAAAACATTATCTAAATCTCGACTGTCTAAGTTATCCCGCATTTCTAGTGTCATAATTATGATGATCTGAGTAGTATTTTGTTTTTATGTATTTATAAGAGTGAGTATAAAATCAACAACAAATACGTCATTCCCAATTTTCTAAAAAATGCTTGAGTGTGTGCGTCGAATGCAGCTACAGCTATAATTCTGATGGTTTTTTTCTGCATGCGAAAAGCTCTGATCGCGTAAGTAAATCTACCCCAAAGGAGTATCCCATATGAAAGGTGACAGTGAAAAAGGGGATGATACGAAATCAGACATGTTTTATGGCTCAATGCTTTTTTCAACTGCCGAAGTAGTGACAACTATGTCGAGAGTTTATTACAGAGATGGTCGATATGTGATGCCCACCGAAGGGTCTCATCTATAATTATACCTGATAATTTAACTTGAGCTTTGATTGTCACCCTGGTATTGAAAGATACTTATTTTTTGAGTTTTTCCTTGTTGAGTTTCAGTTTGTTGGGTATAAACCAGTATTCTGCTTTGTCTTTGGTTTCTTTGGCATTTACAAGTAAATTTGAGATATCAGAATATTGTTATACTGGGTAAAAGGTATCAGAATATATCATTTATATAGATTACAAAAAAGAGTGAACCCAAGATGGATTCCTGAGATATTCCATTATTCATAGACCATTCATCTGATACGTTACCATTCACGTACACTGCCTGCTTTCTAGATGAGAGATACGACTGGAAGGATTTCAAAGCTGATCCTCTGATACCATGAAATCCAAGTTTCTCTAGTAGTAAATGATGGTTTACACAGTCAAAAGCTTTGCCCAGATCCCACAATGTTAGAACCGTATGGTCTCTATGTTCCACGTTTCTAATCACCTGTTGGATGTGATATTGTGTTTATTCAGAAATATTATTAGGCGCTCTTTAACGATAATTTCAATGATTTTTCCCAAAAAAAGTATAATTGAAATAGGTCGGTAATTATCAGGGGAATTTTTTATGGATAGATTACCTTGCTGATTTTAAATACATCCGAAGAGTGTCCTTCACTGACACAGCCATTTATGAGAACTGTTATAGAGGTTCTACAACAATGTTTATAGTTTTTTCGAGGAATCGACTGTTAAATGATGACATTTAACAATATATGTTTTCAAGTTTATGACTTTCATCCACTAAATCTTCATGAAGCATGAAAAGTATCACACGGTTTGGAAAAACTACTTAAATAGTCTATTGTACTGGTATTAAATTCTGGAAGAGATTCATTTATATTTTCGGCTCTATTTGAAAGAGAAGTTTCTTTTGGACAAATCTATTTCACTCCGATATCTTCGTTTGTATTCTACGAAAATAGCTTTATCTTTACATTTTTTTGAAAAAATGCTGACTGTTTGAAGTGTGTTCAATGTATTTCTTATTTGGCACAAATCATCATTGAAAAAGTTTATTGGTCTTTTGTCATATTCATTTTTAGATTTTTTCACTGAGGATACACTACAAAAACACACTTTTGTCTATTTTCCACTATATTTCTTCATTGTTGACCGGTTTCGGCTATTACACCATTTGAAAATGGTTTCGGCTATTACACCATTTGAAAATGGTGTAATAGCCGAAACCGGTCAACAATAAAGAAATATAGTGGAAAATAGACAAAAGTGTGTTTTTGTAGTGTATCCTCAGTGAACATGAATTTCCACAAAATAAACAAGTCGTCAATCGAAGAAGTACATTTTTTGAGTATGTCCACGCTTACATGGACACACTACATTGATGAGGATGGAACGCTAATATTGCTTAATGACACATAAAAACAAGTATACAAGAAATCTTGATATAAATATAAAAAACATAAAGCACAATAAACACTATGAACTCAGTTAGGTTAGGTTAGGTTAGGCTAGGAAGAAAGACATCAAATTTCCCTGAGGTATAAAAACAATGATTTATTGGAATTTTCTTTGAACTACTTCTGAATATTCCGTACGTGTTACTATTTTTTATATTATCAGGAAGCCTATTGAAGTAAGACGCTTCAGTCACCAGAGGTGACTTTTTGTAGAAAGTGAGGTTCGATTTTTTTGCAACAAGTCGTTTTTATGCCTTGTGTTATGGTTGTGAATATTAGAATTTTATGGTAGTTTATTTCTATTTCGGTAAATATGGCTCAGAGTAATAGAGAGAATTTTTTGGTTTCTGTATACATCACGACATGAGGTTTAAAAAGGTAGGACAAAAATAAATCGTAATATTTGTTTTTGTAATACAAATACCCTTTAAGTATCACGCCCTTGCCCCATACTATGGTACTATAAGAAATCGCAGAGTAAGCATATGAATAATAGACATTCCCCTATCCCTATCTAGCATAGATTTCAAAATAGTCAATAGATAGAAACACTGGTTGATTTTCTTACAGACACTGGTAATTGGTACCTCCCAAGATAGATTACAGTAGAATATGGTTATCAACAATAAGTAATATTATCATTATTATTATAATGTAATTTCACAAGAACATGCTGGTTCCACACTAAAGCAGAAATCTTTACAGAAGGCTGTGATTCTTGACGTATTACGCCTGCTTAGTTTACATGATTCTCGAACCCAGTGTTCACGCACCCCACGGTGCAGGAAGAAGTCATTCTTTGATATGCTGGCAGGCCATTTCAAATGTATCTTCGAGGACAAGGCCTGATCGAAGCAAACTTCGGAAAGAAATAATAATGATGGTGATGATAATGAAATGTGCATTTGTTCAAATATTGAAATTAGGCACAAAAGGTTCACTAGTTACTAGACAAAAGAGAATGGACGTAGGCGTAGAATCGCGAGCATCTTGTACTTACAAGAATGATTTAACCTTGTGTGTGAGAAATTACATGATGTTCATATATAAATACCAAGAAATAAGCAAAGCATTTATAACACATTTAAGGAAATTATGACATGAAAATAGTTAATGCAATGAATGAAATAGTAAATTCACATATCAGATTCACAATATTCAAACAAAAATAACAATTTTTTGTAAAAAAATAATTTTTTAATAGCTAAGATAGGTAGGATTCTAAAAATATCTTTCTGGTTTCGCATCGTAGCAAATTTTATGTACATACTTGGAGACTGCCTGTAAATCAAACTATCTGAAAGAACAATTATTTCAGACCAGTCTCAACTCACCTATACTGTAAGGTAATGGACTGACACCTGTCAGAAAACAAATACTCTCCTGGATAATATCCCGAAGGGCGTTGGATTATATCCGACAGGTGTCAGTGTCGAATTCTTCACTGGAGTTATTCCTGTATATACTGTTGGCGATACATCTGCCGAAATCGATTTTCCACTATTGAAATACACTTGCAGACCGGTTTCGGGCTGTTTTGTCACTCGTCAGTGCAAGGTAGTGTCTATCATCAACATGAAGTCGATGATTTCCAATAATTGAAAATCGAATTCCTTTCAGAGCATCATTCTTCGAACTAGGCTGGAGCGAACGACAAACAACATGTTTGTCATCGTCCCATCTGCCCATGAACGAGGTAACCAACCGCATATCCGAATTTTCCCAATTCCTCGTACAAGGAAAAAACTTCACATAAAGTGAGTGGACATACATGGAGACTGGTTGTAAATCAAATTATCTAAAAAGTCAGTCTCAACCTACACTGTAGGTTAATGGACTGACACCTATCAGCCAACAGCGTATGCAGGAATAACTTCAGTGAAGAATCCTATACTGATACCTGTCAGACATGATCCAGCGCCCTTCGTTGCTTGACTACGGCAAGCAACATTGCCACATTTTTTTATTCAATTTTTAATTAGCATTTTATATATCTATATGTACCTATACCTTTGTATATGCAAATATTAATATTTATTCAAGCTTTGATCTCATAATTTTATTCATAAGTGACGTACTGTTTTTTGTAAATAATCATTGACCTACCATATATACGCTATGTATCACAAATGGTGAATAAATATTATTATTATTATTCGTGGTATTAGCCAGGAAAGTATTTATTTTCTGATAGGGATCAGTCCATTAATCTACAGTGTAGGTAAACTGAGACAGTCCTGAACGAGTTGTTCTTTTAGATGATTTAAATTTCACTTAATTCGTTATTATTTCCATTTGTGTAAAACTCATAGTTTTACATACAAGAGGCATGAACGTAAAAGTGAAGATAATTTAGAAATTTCACTACCTGAAAAGGAAATAGGCTATTTTATTAGCAAACTTCACAATCAGACCCCTAATAAACATCATGTATGAACATGTACAAACGTCTGACAACAAATGAATGTATGGAAAAAACTTTTCTCACGCCAGCTTCGCTACCCGAGTTAGCATCATCATGAAATGATCAATATGTTAGTCATCTCTTGATGAATTCGGTTAGAGAAACGAGCATCGATCGACAGTATTTTAGGTCGTGTATGGAAAAAGTGTTTTCCGTAGACCGAGTTTTCAGATTTTTTCTCATGCCAATTTGACTGTATCATTGTGCATTTCATTAATATGAACGGTCATTTTTATTTGCTCAGTTGATTTAGTCCAAATTTTAATTTTACTTTTACAATAATCAATAACGTGTTTCCGTATAATGAAATAACCAAGTGTTTTCTTGAATTCCCTGCTAATTTTCCCTGCTTCTTTTCAGCTCAAAATACGTGTCTAAAAGACCGAAAAGTCTCCGGACGCCTAGTTCGCCGCTGTGCCCCAGGGACCGAATTGGTGGATTGGCTGCTGAATTTGTCACCGAGCATACACACAAGGGCTCAAGCGGCCGGTATGTGGCAGGCTCTTCTAGAAGAAGGTGTAATCTCGCATGGTAAGCGGAGAAACAATATTTACGGTTTTCCTAGACTCACATGAAATCCCGGAAAATCTCGACCGGAATAAAATGTTATGGAAGTTATGATAAGTCTCTTCGCAGTTGAATAATGGGATTACGCTTATTTCTGTTTGCCTCGTTTCGAGATATTTCAATTCTTTTCATTTCCGAGACAACGCAAGATTGCATTCTTTTTTCAGTTTATTCCAACAGATACAGGTTTCTGTTTCTTAGAAATAGTATTTCATTGTTTGCTTTCAAAAGAAGTAGTGATAAAGTAATGAATCTTCTCGACCGCAGTTCTTGGTTGTCAAGAGAAAGTGACAAAAAGGAGCGTGCTTTCGAGATACCGCGAAGTGATACTACTTCCTGCAACTCTACTGGAAGTTGGAAGTTGACGTGGAAATCATGACCTAAAAAATGTAGAAATGTTTTGTAAAGTTTATTTATGAAAATTAATTTCAAGAGACCCCTGAATATTTGCAACAAATAAGGAAAATTATAATCAGCAATTCAATTAGTATCTGTTTAAATCTGTTTGAAATCAGTATGAACGAATTAATGGATACGTGAAACAAACCGCATATATATAAGAGTGATTGTCGTTGTTTCTTGCTGATTTATTTGAGTATTCGATCTTCCACAATCTGGAAAACAAACAAAACAGAGTCGAAAGGGAATCTACTGAAGTCTAAAAAAGGACGAACTGAAAAGTTCACCCTGTAAAATTACTGCACAAACCATTGAAAAGTCCAGTTAATCCGTAACTTGAGTTCACAAATTTTGTCTGCAAATAGAATAAGTTATTAGAAATAGCTTTTTCTGAAATGCTGGTATTATCTTTCCAATCTCGAAACCCAAAAAAATCACTTGTAAAAAACAGGCTGCGACAGTATAGAAATAGAAAGTTAATTACAGAAAAAACAGCAACGAACACTTTGACTCCTACACAACGAATATTTGATACGAATGTCCTTTCACAATCTGATCTCATCCGGTCTATTTCAAGTGGTATTTATTCATATAACAGTCTTTTCTGTATACATATATCAGATGGATTTGGGATATAATCAGCAAGAAATACAAAAAAATACAAAAAGTAGATGCTTCTTATTATTTGGCCTCACTTATACTCAAAACTAGTATCAGTTCTTTCGTTAGTTCAATTCACAAAGCCTTTGTTTGCATCACTGAAAGTATAATTTGATATAAATATTCCACCTTTGATTTTAGTTATTTTAAAATTTGGCAACCTTTGTATTCAAATTTTTATCTCCGTTGTATTCCTTCGTTTGAAGAATAAAGTTTTTGGGTGTAATGAAAAAAACAGGAAGTAGAAAAGAGTAAGAGGGTATTCCTTACTATCAAAATCAAGGATATCTGTCCTGTATGAAAGGAGTTAAAATAATAAATTTTGAAGCATTGAAACAACGAACTCTCGTTTAAATTTGCTCAACGAAAGGAAGGCACGAAACCCATGGAATGCAATGCTGATATACATATATCTTGGTCTGCGATCAAATGTCTTCAACAACCTATTCTTCATTTTTCACTTTTTGAAGACTTGTCTCTCTCAGAATATTCAATATATTTTCAGTTTCTGGTTGCATTTATTTCATACATTGTCGTCTACAGTGTGTCAATTTTAAAACTTACAATGTGCTATATCTCACCAACAAAAGCTGATATCGAAAAGTTCTTGAAACAGTTTCTAGGATAGTAAGGGGAAACTAAAGTAACATGAAAGAGAACTCACCTTCATCAACCCCTAGGCCCTACCCACCAAAACAGAAAAAGTTTAAATTGCAAACCTCTACTTGTGATACATCATTGAAAAGACTATAAAAAATGATATCCAATAGTATGAATAATAATTGTACAGGGTGAAGCAATAATTGTACAGGGTGAAGCAATAATTGTGAAACTTTGGCTTAGATGGAATATATATTGAGGTTTTTGTTGAACTGCAAATTTATTAAAAATGCCAATTGAGTAAATGAATGAATCGAAGAGGTTTTTGTATTAAAGTTATACACTTCAATACAAAATTATACACTTTAATACAAAATATATAAATTATACATTTTAATACAAAAACCCATTCGATTCATTCTTTCAATAAGTGTATTCAGCTTTCCAAATCTATGTATTCAATTGAGTGAGTAAATGTTCAAAGTGGGTTCCGTTGTTTTGTAAACAATGGCAAATGTTGTTCTAGTAATGACGCGACATGCTTGTGTAATTCTTTCTCGCAATTCGTCAAGTGACGCTGGATGAGTTTTATAAACAACTGACTTGAAGTGATTCCACAGAAAAAAGTCAGGAGGCGCCAAGTCTGGTGACCTCGGTGGCCACTCAATGGGATCTTCCAAACCATTTGTTCGGATAATTAGTATCCAACCAGTGTCAATCTGGAGATGCATAGTGAGGAGGTGCTCTATCTTGTTGGAAGTGCAGCAAATCTTCGTCTACAGCTAGGTTGCCTTGGTCATCCCTTTGGTTCTCTAATTCATGCACAATTAAAGGTTTGATGGTGTTTTCCAGCATATCGAGATAAATGTGCCACTTGAATTGCCTGGTATGAACAAGGGACGAATTATGGCATCGCCTAATATTCCTGCCCAAACATTCAGTTTTTCAGGTTATTGAGTGTGACCTTCTCTGAATCGATGGGGGTTCGCATCACTCCAGTACCGACAGTTTTATTCATTTACATTACAATTCAGCATAAAAGTACATTCATCACTGAAACAAATATTTTTTAACATTCTCGGTTCAACGCGAATTCTTTCAGTCATGAGTTCACAAAATTCAATTCGTCGGTCTGGATCATCATCGCCTAGTTATTGAAGAATTTGTGTTTTATACGGGTGAAAACTTATGTAATTTCAACACCTTTCTAACCGACGCATGTGAAAATCCTGTCACTGCAGATACTTGAGGTATTGATGCAGTAGGCTCCATTGCAAAATTTCCAAGGACCTCAATTTGGGTTGCTTCATTCAGTAATCTTGGGGCATTCCTTTTTTATTTTGCACTGATCCCGTTTCTCTAAACTTTTCAACTAAATCGCGGACGTACACGTGACTTACATTTTTGTCCGGATGCCTTTCATGAAATATTTGAGCTGTTTTTAAATAACACTGGTTCTGGGAGGCAAATATGAAAATTATATCCACGCGCTCAAGTATACTGTAAACCATCGTGACAACTACAGCTGAATGACAGTACAGATCGTACAAATGATGAAAACTAATGACATTTAAGTGTCTCAAACAAACCAAAAATTATTGACTCAGACAGAACCCAGAAACAGATCTTTCCAACTTGTTTTGCAAAAACGGCAAATTAAGTTTTTATTTAACAAAAAAACTATCGACGGACACTTATCATTTAAAATAATAGTCCGGGAGGTAGCATTACAAATAAAAAAGTCATAGTAAGCCGGCTGATATTAAATTTCTTGCAGACTTTGACAATGGGCTGTGTTATTGTTTACAAAACAACGGAACCCACTTTGAACATTTACTTAATTGACATTTTTAATGAATTTGTAGTTCAACAAAAACCTCATTAAATATTCCGTTTAGGCCAAAGTTTCACAATTATTGCTTCACCCTGTACAATTATTATTTGTACCATTGGGTAAAATTTTTTATATTTTTTTCAATGATGTATCACAAGTAGGGGTTTGCAATTTAAACTTTTCGATTTTTAGTGGGTGGGGCCTATGGGGTTGATGGGGGTGAGTTCTCTTTCATGTCACTTTAGTTCCCCCTTACTATCCTAGAAACTGTTTCAAGTATTTTTTGATATCAGCTTTCGTTCGTGAGATATAGTCCATTGTAAGTTTTAAAATCGACACACTGTATGTTAGCTCATAGCTGTTTTTTCATCAATGTTTAACATTGAAATATCAACATATACTTCGAAACGACGGGAAACATCCTGAATATTTGCTTTCTGTGGATGAATTATTGCTGTCATTATATCAAGTAGAGAGGTCCTCTGAAACTAGTGATATACAAAAAATATACATCTGAAACATTTGCAAATCATCCCATTTTTCCACTACATTGTACTCAATCCAGAAAAAATCGTCTGATTGCATGAAGAAATATATGCCGTGAGAATAACAAGTTTCACAGTAAAAATCGTTAGGAAACTTTACAAATCGATTTTCTCCATGTAGTGAACAAGGAGCAACCGTTCAAGGACAAGTGTTTTCTGTACCGTTTCTGGCAGGACGAGGAGGGTGCAACCGCTCTACCCCCTCTCGAGGACATCGCAACGGCCGATGAACAAATACAAGACTCGTTAGGGATACTCATCAATAAGGGACCGGACGCTTTCCTTCGAATGATTCTCAGGAAACAGTAAGTAGATGAGCTATTTTCATTGGTTACGAGTAAACTTTGGAGAAATATATTATGTTATATGATAGATAGATAGATAGATAGATAGATAGATAGATATATAACTCATACATAACTCATACATAACTCATACATGATATGGTTTATAGCAAGTCAATCACAATTAATATATCATATTGAATGAATATATAATAACATTATCTAAAATCTCTAGGAGGGCTTTTGTTGTAGATTTTTTTCTACGGAAACCGAATTGAGCTGAAGACAACAGATCAAATCTCTCCAAATATCTCGAAAGTCTGTCTTTTAGCAGTATTTCAAAAACCTTACAAAAAATAACGATAATAGAAATTGGTCTGTAATTGTCAAGCTCTTCCAGATCATCTTTTTTGTGTAGAGGTAAAATTTTTGATATTTTAAATGCATTTGGAAATATACCCTGGATAAAACAGTTATTAATCAAAACTGTGAACGGTTCTATTAAACTGTCTACAGTTTCTTTCAAGAGTGAATCACTCAAACCATATACATCCGTTGTCGGATGTTGTGTTCTCCATTGAATTATTTTCAGGAATAAAAATAAAAAATATACAGCGTTTCAAGATAAGGATGTCGATCATGATTATCTCGGAAGGCATAAGATATGGTTCAATGAGAGCAAAATTGAGTTATTCCAATGTTGACAGCATGTTGTAGAAGGAACGGAAGGTTGTAAAAGGAACGGAAGTATTCTGCTCACTTCCGAAAATATGACAAAACAGAAATGAATTTACTGATTATAGTTTCATTTTTCTTTTTTCTTACTCCATTTGATAAAATATGACTATGAAAATTTTACTTTCTTATTGCCACTTCATTTCACTTCTTCTCGAAGAATCATGATTCTTTGGGATAAGAATAAAAGGATTAGCGCTGAAAACGCTTTCTGAACTTGTTGCATCTTGTTGTTTCAGATTTTTTCATTTGATATGCTAAAATGGTATGTCTTATGCTATGGTGATCAACATTTATACTGCATATGAATTCAAACAACTACAAAAAAAACAACCCAGTGCGAAAATTATTGCCAATTAGTGCGAATACTAGACGGTATCCAGGAATTAGGCTGCGAAACATTACAAAAACTTATTTAAGAACGATTTAATGAAAGCTTCGGACAAAATGAAAGATTCGGACAACTTACTCCATGCAAAGTTCAGCGTGCTCATGTTTGAGACAGATTTCTTATCGGGTCAATTTCCGGGAAAATGAATAGGCACCCATTCAGTAGGATCGTGGCACCCTCTTTCGCCGAATATCAATACTCTCGATTTTTCCACTGAAGTATTCCATAAACTGTGTTCACTAGAAGATCTTAGATCGTTCGGAAACATAACACCTGATACGTCGAGAAGTATTTTATATTCGTCAGTTATTGTCTGTTTTTGGAAAATGAAAATCATTTAGTCAAACATTCTTCAAAACCTTCATTGATTTTTTTGTATCGAATAGTGCTTAGGTGGTTTGCCTAATGAATTTCTGACGTGTCCTATCTATCTAGCTGGAGTTTTATGAATATTCAATAAAGTGATTTCAATTCAATCTTTTTTAATATAATATTCCACTCCATAATAATGAATCATTAAAATCATGAAATTAACAGACTATTATTTTCTTCACTATCATTTCAACGCCTTTTACGCTGAAACATTCGAAATTTTATTAAAACCCTTTTTCGTGATTTGAATATTAGAATTTCGTTTTGTTTCGTATATCACCAAAAGTAAGCGAATTTTAAAAAATACCTTTGAAAACTGTATGGAGGAGAGATACATACATATAGGAAAATAAATATTCCGAAATAAAATCTCGAAACAAACATCTCTCCCAAAGTACCTGCCAGAAAACAACTATTTCCCCTGCTGATACCACGCTGAATATTGAATTATATTCGACGTCCATTTATGGGAGACACCTTAGTCATGAAGATGTTTCTCTTTCATTCAGCAGGAGGACGTCGCTGAGATCAGTCGAGTATTGACTCTCATCAGTGCAGGAATGTTCCTACCCTAACAGTAGTGTGCTCGAGACTCAATTAATTTCAATACGGCTCGACTGCACGTATGACAACTTCGTCTAAGAGAAAAAATGTTAACTAGAAACAGCTCAATCTCACGAACAAAGCTTCAAACGGGAAAGAAACTATCAATACTCTAACAGAAATCACAATACGTTTCAAGACTGTACCGAGGAGATATACATACATATAAGTAAATAAATATTTCAAAATAAAATCTCGAAGCATTTCTCTCTTTCAAAGTTCGGTTTTCTTTAACACTTGACGACTTTGTCTCATATGTAACCTTCTTCAGATGTCTTATGTTTTTCCAAATCCCAGTGAGAGACGTCCTTATCTTGTACACACCAAACTTGTTCAACTTGTTTTTAATGTACACAAACTTAATTTTTGTAATTCTATTTCCGTGTTAGGAATCACACGTTAAAAGGTAAGACCTCGTTAGTCCTTAGCTCGCACAAGTTTCTCGTTGTCGTTCGTATGGGGGCGGCAGCTGATTAACGGAAAAACAGATTTTAAAACAGACTGCACTTGGTATCTTACTTCACCGAATAACTTGTTTGATACATTTTATACTTGATTCAACTCGCTTCTAATTGAGAATCAGTCGCATTTAAATTTGTCATTTCTGTTGTTTCATGTAATTTGAACCCATTACCACAAAGTCAGTGCACAGTAGATAAGATAATACTAAGTCATTCATAGCCATAGACATTTTTCCAGAACTCTTGTTTAAAATAAACCGTAATAACTATTTATGATGCACTGTTTGGAACCTTTGGTGTAGTAATGAATATTACTGGAGTTTTTTCCCAACACCAAATCGTTATTTTTAACACCTCGACACGTGTTTCGATCACCAAGTGATCATCTTCAAAGAGGAATATTAAAACTCAACCCAAAACTCAGTTTAAATCTACCTCTTTGAAGATGATAACTTGGTGATCGAAACACGTGTCGAGGTGTTGAAAATAACGATTTGGTGTTGGGAAAAAACCCCAGTAATATTCGTAATAACTATGTTTGGGTGACAATTGTTGATCAGACAAAATTCCTAGGTCACAATTATCAAATATTGTATTTTTTTCAAGGTGAGTGTGAGTTTAATAAGAACTATATACTTTCATATTGGAATCGAATTACTCTTTCTTCGAAAGGTAATAGATCTACCCATTATTTCTAATCCAATAACGGACTCGGTCGTAATCCATCTTCTTGAATATTCTCCTTCTGATTTTGACTATTGACAAAGATTTCTCCTATTATTATTACCAACCGTCAACCCATTTTCTATTGTTATAATTTTTGTAATTATACGGAATAACATTTTCATATAATTGAAGCCATTTCTATATTATGATACTCCCATTTGAATAAAATATGGTTACTTCTATGTGTGGTGATTTCCGAAACAACCCGTAATATATACCATATTCTAACTATTTCGTGAACTCCCACAAATATTCCCATTCATTGAAGAATCCTGAGAAACCATGTTAATGATATGATGGCAGGGTACGATATGGTCATCAGCCTAAAAATAGCTGTTAACCAATGAAAGAGAGTGGAACCAAAGAAAAATTAGTATGAAAGGAACACACGAGAAAGCTATGAATTGTGAAAATCAAATTCTCTTCAACGTTAATAATGAATCAAAAATTAGAATATAGTTCGGTCAATAGTTTGAGAATCAAAACAACTTTTGTTTTTTCGTTTTCTACTATTATTTTACATAAACAATTCGTTAGTTTTCAAGAATGTGATACTTATAACAATTTGACGTGCCGGCTGAAGCAAGTGAACACTTCAGCAGTATTCAAGTAAGGGTCCATTCAAGTATTTCGTATACATATTCATTTCAATTATTCACTTTCCCCCCCCCATCACCCTTGTCAACGAAAGTAAGCAAAGCTCTAACTCCACTCTTCCATGCTTACGTAAACATTGTTATATGCATTTTTCAAACATAGACAATGTGTGGGATGCCATATGTATAAAAATTAAATGACTCCTGCTGACATTATTATCATCTAGACCCCCCGCCCCATGTCATCAAAAATAAGCAAAACAAAGACCCCCCTATAGTACTTACGTACTACTTGAACGGCCCCTAATGAACTCGAATTACTTATCACGAAGCACGTGTTCAATCTTTCTCTGACGCCACTCCTGACGTTGTACTGAAACCCAATTATTGTTAACAGAGATATCTTATCACGAATTAGCCGAGCGAAAAATAATAATTGTTATTCAGCAACCGAAGTTCTCTTGTTTAGAATTATAAAACTTACACAATGACGCTGAATCGATTCACTTGATTTAACAGATAATTGGATGATTTTTTCCACTTTCACTCTCAATTTTTTTCAATTCCATCCACTTCTGAATATTTTGCATTCCCCAAATAGATACCTACTTACAACTCATCTAATTTGATTTATTGCTGTGGAGGTAATGACCCAATACTCATTCCAAGTAACACCCCATTGCAAGATTTTCACTGGACAGTTTACAAAACTGCAACACGTGTTTCAAAATATCTTTTTCAGGTTTGTAACCAGTAAGCACTGGTTACGAACACTGGAAAATCTGACCTGATCCTTTTTATTTTTGATCAAAGGAGACATAAAAATCGTGTGATTAATGATTATAGCTGTCAGCGATATATATTGATGTATGTAATTCTGGAAACATCAGCATTGATACTATTCGAAGGAGATTTATGGATGGTCACTTGTAAGGAATCGATATGGAAGAACAGACAATCAAAGTCAGACAAAGTCTTTTTTGTGGAAGCAGACTTGACAGATAGGCCATTTCTACACCTCTACAGAGTTCTCCAAAACAATTTTTATATTCTCCAGATGATGGAAGATAAAAATATCGCTGATTTTCCGGTCGTGCAGTTCTTCACTTTTGCTCCTCTTCAATCATCATGAACCAA